ACTCCATGTTGCTGGGAAAACCCACTGCAGGGCACCTGTGGAAATAGCAGAGCATTTATTTGCAAAGATGTTTCCTTACACAAAGCCGTAAATCCTTATAGAGTTGGGCGTTTGTTATTTTTGGCTTTTGCAAAATTATTTGTGCTTTCTTGTGGCATTTTATCGCTGACGCGTGCTGTTTGTGGAGGTGCAGCATTAAATGTCATGGCTTGGAACTGTAATGCTCTGACTCAAAAAGAGTTGTTACGTAGGGAACCTGCCCTACTTAAAAGGTTCTCATGTTTGCCCAGGGTTTATGTACTGTATTCTTCTAGCAGATCCTCATTTTCAGTGTTACAGATGATAGATGCTAGTTGTGAGTGATTCAGCCATAGTTTATAGCGTGCCTTTGCAGCTTGGAGTTTTAGCACGCTGTCCTGCTAGCTCAGCAGCTAACGAGTCCTCTGCTTTCATCCATGCTGCCCCTCTAATTAATGATCCACAGGAATATGCAACCAGTTTACTTTTATCTTCTTGGGCTTTGGGATGACGGGGAGCCAGCAGAGATGTACAGGAAGCTCAGTCACGAGAGGATTCAGCTTTCCCTATTGTACATCAGTGTCCATATTTTAATCCTTTGATTCTTCATAGCAACCTTGCATGTGGCAGAGGGGTTGGAGATTCATGATCCTTGAGGTCCCTTCCAACCCTGGCCATTCTGTGATTCTGTGAACCTTCAGTCCAAACCCATATATTTTATTAATTTATTTATTGATGAATGTTGAAGTGATCTTTACCCAGTGGGACTAGTTCTAACCCTGTGGGACTTCTGCCCTTCTAGTGGCAGCGAGCAGAAAGTGCTGGCTGTGCTGCCAAGCCTGAAGGGTGATTTTTGGCACCAGTGGAGCTCCACACCATGAACTCATCACTACTCCGTTGCCACAGAACACCCAGTTTGGTACGGTCGTGGGAATGGTCTTACAGGGCCAAATGCCACTCCTGGTCAAGTCAGATCTTGTTTTGTGGACAGGTTTCTGCTCCTTCACAGAACAACAATTCTGTGTCTCAGCAGCACTGGATGCTGTAGCAAGCAGGGAACAATGATGAGTCCCCAACCAAGGCTCTTGCACAACAGCTCTACAGCAGACAAAGGCAACCTATCCATGCTTGATGCTATGCAGCAGATCAAACGCTTTCTGCAGGCTCTTGTTTGCACAGCTGCTATGCTTGGAAAAGTCACACACAGTCCTCAGTTGCCTGGCTCAGTTTGCTCCCCAGCGTCTTACCTGGAAACTAGATTATTGGTTTATATATGCTATACTTCATTAGATTGTATTTACACACAACAGCTATTTGATTATTAAATTTTTATCTATACATTAGATTACCAATACATATTTATTATCAAAGATCTTTATATTCTATCTAATCTATAATTTATAGATCATTAATTTACGTGTTACATTGCTTGGGTACAGCAGTGTCTCTGTTTCTTTGTGCTGCTGACACCTCTGTAGAAGCTTATGAGCAGACTGAAAGGCCAGAGGGGAATTCTATAATTACACTTGCTTACATCTGCATTTTACTTGTGGCATGCATCTGTTTGCACAGCTTTTAAACAAGTGATGCTGTGATTTGGATGAATCCATTCATTCTTTTCATAGTTTCTTACTAGGATTAATACTCTTTTTTTTTTTTTTTATACTTAAATTTCCCTGATTCTCACTTTCAGATGTATTTTCCTTTACTTTGACCCCTTACCCCTCTTTCTGAGAAGAAATTTTTCCTAACATCCGACCTGAACCTCCCCTGGTGCAAATGAAGGCCATTCTCTCTCTTTCTATCCCTGTTACCTGGGAGCAGAGGCCGATACCCACCTCTCTATGACCTGCTTTCAGGCAGTTGTAGAGAGCAATAAGGTCTCCCCTGAGCCACCTCTTCTCCAGAAGGAACAATCCCAGAAACTGAATGGCTTCAGAGTGCTTCTGACAATGAACATAGCAACACTGTGTGGCACCTTCCTTTCACGTCACAAATGCAGAGATGGGGACACAGCGAGGCACAGAAGATGGAAGCAGCCCTGGGATTTGCCAGCAAGGAGAGACTGAATCTGGGAAAGCATCAAGTGTGATGAAGGGCAGGTTAAAAGGGAGATGTCCTTAGCTGGATGTTTCCTTGTTTTAACAATTTATGTAAACTGATTTCAAATACTTCAACCATGCCCAGGTTTTCATGTTTACTTTTGGGGCTTTTTTAAAACTGGGAAACAATTCGCCAAAGCTGTTGTCAGTGCAGTGCCTCTGTCCCTGTAGGAGAGGGGTCTGAAATCATATGGCCCATTGTTTAGGATGCTACCCTGGTTTTGAGGAATCTGCTTCCTATTCCCGTGGGTCTACAAAAAAACAGCTCGGTCACCTCAATCTCAAAGCGTTATTGCAGTGAACATCATTCAGTCAGGAAAGTTTCATTATTTTTTAGTAAATCTCTTGGTGACTGCTCTTCCATGCTTTAAAGTAAGAGAAGGAGCACATGAATTTCTGCAGGTTGAGTACATCTCAGCACAGCTGCTGGCTGCAGTGACCTCTGCTGGGAAGCACACGGCTGTTCGGGTTCACCAGCAGAACCTGCACCTTGATTGAACCCACAGGCTTCCACCCAAGCTATCTCCAATTAGCATTATGATTTTTTCTTTTAATTTTGGATTTGATTTTCCTTTGAATAGCCCATCAGTTGAGACCCACTCTGAGCATGGAAACCTAGAATCACAGAATATCCCAAGTTATGGAAAGGGTCCCATAAGGATAACTGAGTCCAACTCCTGGCTCCCCACAGGAATATCCAAAAAATCAGATCACCTCTTTCTTTCCTTCTGATAGAAATGATGGTCCCAGAAGCCAAACTGGAAGTAGGTGCAAGCCAAAATGGTTAGCAGCATTGGCAGAGATATTAAGAACTCTACAATGCCAAGTTGAATGCCCTGCTGATCCTGACGAGGCTGAACCAAAGCAGAATTAAATCACAGAATCAGAGAATGTCTCCTACTATCGCAGCCAACTCCTCCAATGCACCAGCACCTGGGTAACAGTGGTTTGCAGGTGTCACTTCCCAGGACACCTTTTTCCAAATACCTTCATCCCTATGGATTGATTCAGCATCTTCTGCCTTCTTTCCCTGTTGGGTTTCACATCCCCTTTCTCGCTCCTTCATCCACTTTCTTTCCACTTTCCCTGTCTTTCACTGAGAAATTCCTATTGTTCATGTTCAAAGATCAGCATATAAATAAAATTAAAATGACGTTCTCAAAATCTAAAAATTAAAAATGCAAAGTATTAATTTGCATGCAGTGAAAAATGTAATGTAGGCTACATTGCAGGCTTTAAACCTATATCACTATTTGTGTTATTGCTTGATTATGATTATTCTTGATTGTGATGGTACTAGTTGCACAAATGTGCATGTGCATAAAGGAGAATGGACATACACGACGAATAATTTCCATTAAAAGTGACAATTTGCTTGAAATGCCATTGAAATTCTAGTGTACCTTCAAGTGAAGAGCCTACTCACGTATCTGTTGCTCTGACCTCCCGTAGTGCATTGCATTTGGCTCACTTACTGTTGATGTAAAATTTCCTCTGCATGAAGGTCCTTATATGAATGCACCTTTTGATGGCTGATTATGGGTGTAAATTCAGGTCAGTCATAATTTATCTAGTGAACTCAGAGGAAATTGGATTAGTCTCTTTTCCTAAGGGAAAGACCCTGCCATGTGCATGGGACCTTCTGCTCTCGTCATCATCACACAGACATTGGGACACTTGGGAATGCTGAGGATGAGGTCTTGACAAATAATTAAGCATCCTAATTAATCTGCTCGAACCTTGAGACTTGTAGAGAGCTCTGCATGTGCTGATAATGCACTTTTACTTTCTGAATGTGTCTGTATGTTGTTCGATGAGCAGTCTGTTCATGGCATTTCCCAGCTTCCTCTTGCTCTTAAAACAATTGTCTGTAATTGGTGTAATTAATATTCTGCCCCTGGGGTTGTACTGTTGTCTCTTTAGAGTTTGCACAAGTTAAATGTATCTTTTGGAAATTGTTTTTTAAGTAGCAAACCCAGAGAGGCATTGCTCTAAGTAGTTAATTAGATGTGTGTTTATAGAGATGATTTTTCTCTTTAAAGACAGCATTTTGACAAACCAGAGGTCCTGGAGGCTTGGTGGGAATGATCCATGCCCTCCAGCCACCTGCTGTGCTGTATGAAATCTGTTTTCCTTTCGAAGTGAGGTTTATGTCATTGCACAATCTGCCTGTTCCCATCCCTGGGGAGGAGAAGTGTGAGAGCAGGCTCACCCCTTAGGAGACATAGAAAATCCACATGGCAGATTACCAAATGCAGTCACTTTTCAGAAACTCTGTGTTTATGTAACTGTGTTCAGAGTGAGAAGAAAGCAGCACTATGGAGACTGAGGCAGTTCTTGGTAGTGATGATTTCAAGGATTTATTAGTCCGTATCATGAGGGCATAGAAAATTCATGAATACAGTGGGAGCATTTGGATGGAAAGCATGCAGCACTCAGTAACACTGCAGGGAAATGAGGGCATCCAGACCTGGTGTGACAAGGGAGTGGGAAAATTCAGTGAGTAGGAACGTGGGGCTGTTGTATGTCTGTTCTATGTGTGCTCCAGCTTCTGTCTGCATGGGGATAAATCCCTCCAACCCACACTCTGCCTCCATCCGCCTGCACCCAATTTGCCGCCGTTGTGAGATTCAACCTCCAGGCAACCATCTCCATTCATCTGACCCAGAGACTCCAAGCTTCTACTGCCCCAAATACTTAACCACTGAGCATTTTCTGAGCTGTAAAGTGTTTGTGACTATTTACTTCAGTCAAGATTGTATTTTGTCGGGATGAATAGAAGCACTGACAATTAGTGTCTGACTAAAAATAACTTTCTTTTTTGCAGCCACTTTCTAAAAAAAGACTACTTCATCTTTTATTTGTCTTATGTTTTTCCAGGATCAAGCATGAGAATATAGTTGCTCTGGAAGACATCTATGAGAGCCCGAATCACTTATACTTGGTCATGCAATTGTAAGTACTGAACCTAACTAAATTTCTGTGTCCAAATTGCCAACTCTTCTTGTTCTAAACTTGATTTCTAACTCAAAAGATGGAATAACTGAGGTATTTGTCTTGCGTCCAAAATCCTTGGTTGGTGGTTAAAACAAACCTTCAGATGTGGAGGGCTGAATTGTTGTGAAATTGGGAGCTGAAGTCTTTTGTGAATGGTCTTCCAAAATCAAACCAAAGTTAACAGGGGATTTCCTGTTAAGGGTACTAGAAATGACTCTGAATACATGGAATCGCCATCCATGTAGTTCTCCATGACCCAACAGACCTGGTCTGAAGTGAGAGGGAGTGGATGGGTGGTGGATTTGCAAGAAAGCATCTTGCTTGTTTCAGAAGCAGGACCATTTCACTGCACTGTTCCTTCACATGTGTCTCCCACCAGAACCTCTCTTCTTCCTTTTTCCTCCCTACTCAGAGCTTAAGAAGATCAGAATCCCATCAGATATGTGATGTGTTGTGGCTGACCTGGCCCTCTTGCCACATCCACCTGGCAAGGAGGAAGTGATGATCATAGTGCTTTGTTTTTCTTTCTTTTTTTTCTTTTTTTCCTTTTTTCTTTCTGAAATCAATTTAAAAAAACCATGACATGAAGTTAAAATTTCTTATTGTCTCTGGTCTCTATGAGATTACCTGAAACATGAGCAGTGCAGACAGATGGGGCAAAGGGATAAAGTGCTGCTGTGAAGAGACAGATGTGCCACAGGGGAGCTTGGAGCATCTGACAGAGGTAGATCTGGGGTTAAATATCTGACAGGAAACCACTGGGGACCGTGCTGGGCCCTTGTCTGTTGGTAATATCCAGGGAAGCAGATGTCATTAGTAGCTGTCCTGCTGGTTGTGTGGGAAGAACAGTGCCTTGTACATCTTTATTTTGTGTTTGTAGTCCTACATTTCTGCCCAAAATGCTGTAAAATGATTTCACAGGCACCTCAGCATCATACAAATTTCAGCATACCATCTGGATTGTGGGAAGTACCAGTTTCATTACCAGTTGATTTACAAATCCTTATTTTTGTTTAATCTCTGTAGAGAAGAAAAATCAGTATTACTCCTGTTTATTGCTACCTAGCTTATTGTGAGGTAACCCTCACTTTTCCAGGTTTCTTGTGTCCATATCATTGGCTTATCTAAAATGTAGGGCTGTAATCATAGGTAAGACTGAATATGTTAGTACAGACAGAATCATAGAATTGTTAGCATTGAAAAATACCACTAAGATCATCTTAGTGATCCAACTGTCAACCTATTGTGGAATGGAATGGAATGGAATGGAATGGAATGGAATGGAATGGAATGGAATGGAATGGGAGAGGAGAGGAGAGGAGAGGAGAGGAGAGGAGAGGAGAGGAGAGGAGAGGAGAGGAGAGGAGAGGAGGAGAGTTGGAAGGGCCCTTCAAAGATCATCAAGTTCAACTGCTGGACCACTTCAGGGCAGCACTGCTCCATCCCAGGGGCAGCACTCAGCATTTTCCTTTGTTAAAATTCTACTTGCTTGCAATTCAACACTTAACTAGGAAATTATTCTCTTTATCTTAGCTGCATTTGTAAACTGAGCCAAATGATTTCCCAAGGACCAAGAATTTAGCTGTTGTAAATGGACCAAAGCCCACAGTGGTGGGATGTCTGGCTGAAGACGGAAGCTGGGACCCCATCTGGAATGGTCAGGGCTGTGGGCCTGAGCCCTTCTTAGCCAGGATGAGGAATCCTTCAAAATTATGGGATCATTTTATTTGAATTTGGACACATACATGAGCGTTATCTAGAAACATACTTGAGAGTGATCTAGAAACTCCCACTCATGCAAAAAGCCTGTGTGACAAAACTTGTGCATGTCCTGCACTCAGCCTCAGCAATGGAGTAAAACACATTTGGTTATTTTATTAAAGACTGTTCATGTTGTGCCAAGCTGTGGTTGTCAGCTCTCCTCACTGCTGCAAATCAAAATAAGGCCCTGCTGTACTGAAATCTGCACAGGGAGTCTTCAGGGAATAATCTGCTCTTTTGCAAAAGGGTCGTGCTATGACAAAGTGAAGAGGACAGCATGCGTATCCTCATCACTGTGCACATTGCATCTGTGCTGCCTTTTTGTTCTGAATTCTCAAGAGTTGGGATTCAAGGCTGCATCCCCACAAAGTTTAGAAGACTTAAAATCAATTCTGCATGCTTCCTTTCTAGGTTTCTGTCTGGGAGAATGCATGCACGAATAATCTTTTTTCCAGGGTAACACCAACTTATTGAAGCATTGCATAGCATGAAGTATCTATCTGTTTACATCTCTTCCCTGTTTAATATTATTAGATTCCTTATGTGGTTTAGCTTCAGATTCTTGTATAATTCTCCTAAACAAGACAATGGTTTTGTGCATTTAAAATTTGAGTTTAGTATGAATTTAGAAGTAATTGTGATCAAGTGGGTTCCCAAAAGCCACATTTAGATAAATAGAAAAGAGGGTAATATTAGGACCACTCAAAGAGCAGTACCGTGGGCACGGCAGATCTCACATCCATATACCCTTCTCCTGACTCACTGCTTTCTAAGTGAGCACTTACTCATGATTGCCGTGAGAGATTTTTTGTTGCATGGGCAGCATTTTCATTGCCAGTCATCAAAGCACTCCTTGCAGTTTTGTGGAAAATCCACATCACAGCCTTTGAGCATCCCATAGCTCACCGTGGGAGAAACTTTTTGGAATCACTCCATACCCCTGTTCATACCCTATGTGTTCACCCTTTGCTACATCTGCTATTGAAAGCTATGCTTGTTAACTGGTTATCCTAAAGGATAGATATTTACTCTATCAAAGACATGAGCAGGCACACGTGGCAGCATCTGTGCTGGAGCTTGTAGAAAAGGAGGTGAGGAGGTGGCTGTCTGTGTCTACTTGACACTTAATTTATTCCTGCAAGTCCCTCTGGGAGCATTTCCCAGGGTTATGTGGCTACTGGTGAATGTCTTGTGTGTTTCCTGGTATGTTCTTGTGGAAATCTGATCTCCAGCTTTGGTTTCAGCCCCTTATTTTTACATACAGTGTATGTGAGCCATCATAAAACCATTCCATCTGTCACAGTCCTGTTACTGCAAGGTAGTCCAGATTGGAGATATCTGAATCTGACAGCTCAGAGTTTCATGTGCAGTCTCAAAACATTACCCTATTCCTTAGAAATGGCTGGCCCATTATTTCTTCATTTATTTTCCCAAAGTACAGGATATTTCAACTCCAAGAATGAACACAAACACCAAAATATTTGAAGAAGTTTCATTCTTTTTGGGTGAGATTTCCCCAGAGAAGACAGGGAAAATAATTTCATAAAGGAAAGTTTTATTGAAGTGTATCTTGGAATGATAGTATGAATAATAGTAAACGTCATTAATGAGCAATTATAGGTTGCTATTGGGGCTGCATGGTAAGAATTACCCTTTCTAAGCCATCTGCCTCACCTTATCTTGCCAGTGCAGGGAAATATCCTGTTGTAGTTTGTACTGTCAGATACTAATATTTCACTGGCATAAACGGCCTCTTTGGATATTGATGATTCATTCTCTACGTGCCAGAAAGTCATGCATAAAAATGGATTTACATAAACATGTATTTTCCATCTAAGTGTTATGGGACTGCTTGGATACGGCATTTCAGAAGGCGCTGCCTGTGCAGGTCAGAGCAAATCCCCAAAGCTCATCACTGACTTCATCTCCATCATTTGTCTACACCAGAGCACAAAACAGCAAAGTTTGATCTCCCCCAGACCTGCATGCACCCTCCATTAGCCACAGGCCATGCATGAGTCCCCTGCACCTCTGTGGAGATGTGTTTCTCACTGCTGCTGCTGTTGACTCTCCACAAGGATATGGGGCCATGTTAAAAGTCAATGACAATGTTCATTTCCATGTTCTCCCCTATTCATCTGTGTAAGAACTGCATGTTTTTGGTATCACAAATCTTCTGAAAAGTCAGTATCCTTATGGGTCCCTTCCAACTCGGGATATTCTACAATTCTCAGCATACCCAATGGGTCAGAAGTTTCTAGGTGAAGACAAACTGGGATGGACAGACAGTGACCACATGTGCCTCACTTCTTATGGGAAACAGGCTGGAAATAGGTCTAACAGACACCTCCAAAGCTTATGAAATTCATCCAGCCTATTCTTAGAGGTCTCCAGACGCACGTTCCCCAGGGAATCCATGCCACTGCTGGACAGCCTTATGGATTTGGAGCATTTCCTAATAAAATTACGTCTTTCAGGTTGCAACTTAAACTAAGGCTGGAAGTCTTATTTCTCTAATTCCTAATGAAGGTAATGAAACTCTAAAGGTGACAGCAGCAGGCCCTGGAAGGCACATGGCTAGGTAATGATTAAAACTAAACACCCACATTGACCAAATCCAGAGAAATTTCTGTTGATGCCAGGTGCTCAGGGCATGCTCCCATGAAGCTCTGCAATGCTGGACCTAACTCTTAAGGTGTTTCAGAAGGACACAAGGGTTTCTAGCAGAACTAAACCTCGGAGCTGAGAAGAAAGGGAGGCAGGAATATGGTCTAGTTGAGAACTTTGTCTTCAGGATCCAGTGACTGAAAGCCTAACCAGTGGCCTCTTTGGTGGCTGTGCAACATAATAGTAGTTCTCCATAGGAGGGCTGTTTAACCTAGATCCTGTCAGTCTGTGTTCCTGATGGGCCAAGGAAGCCAGAGCATTTCCCCCAGATGAGGTCTTTTTGAGGCCATGAGATCTCTGCTTAGAACAAGTGTTATGGAGAGCAGTCCTCTGCAGCAGACCCTGGAATGCTTCTCCTGAAATGCCCCAAACAGCCCAAACTGAACCTAATAACCTAATCTTAACGGTTTTCCAGCTTGGCATCTCAAGTCTGCTGAATAACTCAAATGATTTCTAGCACAGACAAGCCAAGATGACAGGGAACCTTCCTTCCTGGTGTAAGTCATGCACCAGAGTATTGTGCAGGCTCA